TTTATTTATCTCACAGGACTATTTAAGTGGACAGGAAAAATAAATAAATAAGTTGATTGAAATTGCATGGTAAAATGTTCATTTATTAATTGTATTAATTTATTAATTTCTTCTGCGTTTTATAATACACATTGTTCCAACACAGCTTTACAGAAATTAAAAAAAAAAAAAAAAGAAAGAAGAAGCTTTGTCTCTTTTTACAGAGCCGGATCATTTGGCTCAGCTCAGCAATAAGAACCGGCTCTTTCAGGCTCCTAAACAACTCTTCATTAGAACCACTTCTGGCTTTTATAATTCAGCCATATTTATAGAACATTATAGTGAACTAATCAAAATCATTCCAAACAAATCCCTCTCAAAATGGAACACAGTTACCGTATAACAGAAAGAAAGAAAGAAAGAAATCAGCTCTCAGACAGGACACGACTCCCATCGTTCACTTAAAGGAGCCGGCTCATAGAGACACATCACTACCAGCGAGTAAGAATAAAATAAACCTGAAACTGAAAAACATTAGGATGTGCCGGGAGATGAGGAAAGAAGCTTGGGAGGAACCTGGGGTTGCATTAACCAGAAATGTACCAAAAATCAAGAACTTCAAAAGAAAATTTAAGCTTTAATTTATTTGGGTAATCAAATCTATTAATACTAAGAATTGTTGCTCCTTATTTAGAAAATAATCTTTTAATAATAATGTTTGCATTTATTGCCTGGCAGATTTAATGCAAAATGAAAATTCAGTTTACTGTTGTTATAACAAGTACTGAAAAAGAAGTGTTAGTGAAATTAATGTTCATTCTGTGCTCCAGGGATCATGTGCAGTGGACAGACGAGGAGACAGAGAAAGCCCGGCAAAAAGCAGAGGAGAACTCTAAAGAGAAGATTCCTGTAGAAGAGCAATGTAAGTCAAATCCTAGCATTCACACACAGTGTGTATAGAAAACAATCACCCCCTTTAAAATAATCACATTTTGTTGCTTTACAGCCTGAAATGAAGACGGACACAGTTTTTGTTTTATCCAGCTGTATTTAATCAGTGCAACTTATAACATCCAAGTGAAAGATATAACACCAACATGTCAGAAAAAATAAAAATAAAAATTCAGGCTGCAAAGAATCAAAATGTGATTATTTTAAAGGGGGTGATTCTTTTCTATACACACTGTATGTGTTAAAACATGCCCCCTATTAATGGTTGCCAGCTTGTTTTTCTAGTTTGATGCCTTGTTGTTTTCTCTCCCATCAGCCAAATATGACAGAGAAGCTCATAAATATTGGGACCGATTTTATGAGATGCACCAGAGGAAGTTCTTCAGAAACCGAACTTGGCTCTTCACCGAATTCCCAGAGCTTCTCCCTCCAGACACCGCAGGCTTGTGCCTCCCAGAGCAGGAGCAGGAGCAGGAGCAGGGCGGTGGGGTGGACTCGTGCTCCGAGTCTGGGAACAGAGAAAAGCAGCAGCCCTGCGCTTCCAGTACATTAACCAGTCATATGAACACATTCCCTGGACAGCATGCTGCTTTCAGGATACTAGAGGTGTTACAGCCAGAACTATTCATTTATTGCATATATATGTATATACATATAATCATTTGTGGTGTGTTAAATAATTTAGGTTTGGGATTTGCACTGATTTTGATTTGTGTGTTTTATGCAGGTGGGCTGTGGTGCAGGGAACAGTGTGTTTCCCATCATCAGCACCATCAGGTAAGAGCGTCAGCTCCACTGTGAGGAAAACACAACCTCATTTCCTCAGAAGAAAAATCTCATTTTTATTGCTAGGATAAATTATGTAGACGTTTGTCTGTCAATTACCCTAGCAAAGGGCAAAAAGCACCATGAAATACACTATTCAGACATTTGGGGTCAGTAAAGAAAATGGAGGAAAATATTTTTGAAAGAAATCCCTGCTTACCAAGGGATCAAAATAGACTAATAAGTTAATATTGTGAACTTGTATTACAGTTTAAAATAACTATTTTCTATTTGAGTATATTTTAAAATGCAATTGTATTCCTGAATTTTCCGCATCATTACTCCAGTCTTCAGAGTCACATGATCCTTCAGAAATCATAATAATATGCTGATTTGCTGCTCAGCAAACATTAATGTTGAAAACAGTGGTGCTGCTTAATATTTTTGTGACATTTTTTTTTAGAAACTTCAAAAGAACGGCAATTATTTGAAGTATAATTCTTTTTTTAACATTATAAATATTTTTACTGTCTTATTTGATCAATTTAATGCATCCCTGCTGAAAAAAAAAATTCTTAAAAAAAAAACAAAAAAACTTTTGAAGACTAGTGTAGATCTCATGCTCAAGTCTTCTGAAACCATTTGATAGCTTTATGTGCAGAACTATATCTTCAGTATGTAAGTTGTTATTCACGTTCTTCTTGTGTAATAACATAATTTAAACTCATCATTTTTTTTAATATCAGTGTCATTATGTATTTGGTAAATATTTGTGTAATAAGTAGGATATTGATACGGTCAGTAACGATCATTATGATTCGCAAAATAGATTCTATCATGGTGATCAGGACACAAAGAGGAGGCTGATTGTACAGTGGGTATAGAACATAATCACCCCCTTTAAAATAATCACATTTTGTGGCTTTGCAGCCAGAAATGAAGACGGACACCGTTTTTGTTTATGCCACACATATAACATTTTCAGTTAAGGAGATGAAAATCAAAAAAGTTGTGATAGAAACAGTTATTGGGAGTAGCATGTAAGCAGGTGCATTTGTGTATTTCTAGGGGCAGTAAGGCGTTTCTGTACTGCTGTGACTTCTCATCTCAAGCGATTGAGCTCATCCAGGTAAATGAGTCACATGTCTCTGCTCCTCAGTGCACCTTTACATCAAACAGAGCCCACACACATCCCAGATTTACATTAGCCAAAGCCTTTGAGAATGGATGAAGACGGGGAGGGCAACATATCCTGTTCTCCATTCATATTAATGACGGCTGATCAGTCGTGTGGGAGTTTGACTCTGTCTCCTGGTGCTTGATGCTTTTTGTTATGCAGAGACCTTCATCAAATGCCAACAGCAGAACATATTGAATAGTGGGGGAAGTGACATCCACAGCGTGCCGACAGCGGCATTTCTATTCCATCAGTATATGCTTGAGTTTGAGTAAAAACACTTTAAAAACTGTTCTCATGAACACATATTTATTTATTTATTTATTTTTTACATTTTGTGAAGAAAATTGAGTTTGCCTGTGTAAAAGTCAACCATGTTGCTTGAGTGTTGGTCCAAGTCAAAAGAGCCCACCCAGAGTCTCTCTGATATTCTGGATAACAAGTCTCGTATAAATCTTTTAATGTACACTACCGTTCCAAAGTTTAGGCTTTTTTTTTTTTTTTTTTTTTTTTTTTTTTT